AGAAGCATCTGCAACAAGACAGACAGATTAATGGCACAATTAGGGATAATTCATTTAGACCTAATTGACATTACAGACATGAGAAATAAACATTCTAGGGTGCACAATATTTCAGAGAGACAGAGAGAATGGCTAAGGAGGAGAAGCAGCCCTGGTAGCAAAAGACGATATAGGGGCATTAGTGAAAAAGGATCTGGGCTATGAAGATCATGAAGTGGAATTGTATGGCTGGAAATTATGAACAGAAAAGAGTCAGCAAGTCCTGGTGGGAGTAGTTTTTTCGTGGGCATCCTACAGTAAGTATAAGATTGGACAGAGCATTAAACAAGACAATACTGACTTGTAAAAGTGGCAGTATAACAATTGTTGGGGTCTTCAATCTAGATACAGATTGGGATAATCAAATTGGCAACAACACTACAGAAGATCAGTTTGTAGAATGTTTTCATGACAATTTCTTGGAGCAATACATTATGGAACCAACTGGGGATACAGCTATCTTAGATCTCATATTGTGCAGTGAAACGGGGTTAACCTGTAATGAAACACTAAAATATCCTCTGGGAAATAATGATCACAATTCCATTAAATTCTATTTTAAGATTGAAAGTGATGTGCTCCATAGACAAACATGAAACTTAAACAAAGCCAATTACATAGGTATGAGAGGAGAACCAACTGAGATTATTTGGGTAAATAGACAGAAATGTATAGCTGTAAAGGAAAAACGGGAAACATTTAAAGAAACAATTGAAACAGTTCAACCAAATTACATTCCATGGAGAAATGAAACCTCATCAAAAAAAGACACATCTGTGGCTCACAGAGGAAGTTAAAGATTAATCATGGAATCCCTACAGTGTGGAAGCAGGCCAATTGGCCCGTTGAGTTGACACCAACCCTGCAAAGACCATTCCACCCAGACCCACCCCCACCCTATCCCTGTAACTCTGCATTTCCCATGGCTAATCCACCTAGCCTGCACATTCCTGGACACTATGGGGCAATTTAGCATGGCCAATCCACCTAACCTACACATCTTTGGACTGTGGGAGAAAACAAGAGCACCCAGAGGAAACCCACACAGACAAGGGGAGAATGTGCAAACTCCACCCAAACAGTTACCCAAGGGTGGAATTGCTTGCCATTGAGCGACTATGCCACCCCACAGCATAATAAATTCCCTTTATTGCAAGGGAATTGGAGTACAGAATAAAGAAATCTTGTTAAAATTATGAGATAACAAGGTGTAGAGCTGGATGAACACAGCAGGCCAAGCAGCATCAAAGGAGCAAGAAAGCTGACGTTTCGGGTCTGGAACCTTTCAGACCCAGCTGTGTTCATCCAGCTCTGCACCTTGTTAACTCAGATTCTCCAGCATCGGCAGTTCCTACTACCCCTTGTTAAAATTATACAGGGTTTTGGTGAGATCACATCTGAAGTACTGTGTGAATTTTGATCTCCACATTTATGAAAGTGCATTGGAGGCAATACAGCAAAGTTTCAGTTAGTTCCTGGGCAAAAGGGATGTCCAGATTGGCTGTAATATTCTCCAGGTTTTAGAAGAATGAGAGGCGATCTCCTTGAAATGTTCCAGATTCTAAAGGAGCTTGACAGGGTGGACCCTGATGGACTGTTTTCACTAATCAGAGAATTTAAAAGGCAGGGGACAATCTCAAAATAAAGGGCTGGTCATTCAGGATTGAGGTAAAGAGAAATTACTTCACTCAAATAGTTATCAAACTTTGAAATTCTCTGTCCCGGGGGGTTTGGAGTCTACACATTGAATACGTTTAAGGCTGGAATAGACAGACTTTGATCTCTCAGGGTATCAGAGGATACAAGGAATGGGCAGGAAAATGGAGTTGAAACTCAAGATCAGCAAGGATCATATTGAACAGTGAAGAAGAATCAAGGAGCCAAATAGTCCACTCCTGCAACAATTTCTTGTGTTCTGTGTATAGTGGTGGTTGTTTAAGAAAGCAACACTTGTAAAATAGTAATGTGTCACAAATATATCATCTATTCCCCTGTAAAGTAGAACACAATTTTTCTTTTGGCTTTTTCCATCCCCAAGGCAGCTTGATTCCATTTTAAAAAGACATATGTTGTCTTATTCAAGTTGGCCGAAGATGCCAGAATCCATAAAGCATGTCCTAAGTAGCCACACCTTGGAAACAGTCTTAAATCTCTTGTCAGCCCTCTTAATGTAAAATCCAAACATTACTTTGAAATTATTCATGGAAAAATAGGGATTTCACTTGAAGAGTTAGATGAAAGTGTGAGTCATTTCTCAGGGGGATAAATATAAATGAAATATATATGCGATAAAGTCTTAAATCAGATTAAACAGATCAAAAGCTCACAAGGTGGCATAGCTAAAATTGATGTGCAGGGAGTATTGACTTGAATATCAAAAACTAGGATGCTGCAAAGTTTATAGCAGTTGTTTGATCCCAGATTTGGATTATGCCATAATAGACAGTGTTAACTTATCATGTCACTTCTTGCAATGATTCAGGACCAGAAAGAAACATTATCCAGTGGCCTTGTCTCCCTTACTATTCAGGTCAGTGCAACTTTTCTACAGTGTTTTTAGCAGAAGCAGAGTGGCCATTTAGTTGACTGCTGTTGAGATATAAATGCTGCCTTTTGGAACTGGTGCTGGTTCAGTAATTAATTTCGATGCTTTTTGATCATTAGCTGTGCTTTGTCCTTCAGCTTCAATTCAGGCAGAATTTTACTGCTATGGCCTGAATAAGGAATTGTATTCAGTGTGGTATCAGTTATGTTAATGGTATTTCTACTTACTTATGCAGCTGGTTCAGGCAAAAAAAGCTGCACCTCTCTTGCCATGCATTCTGCTGAGTGTGTGAGCTAATATACAGTGCAGTTAACCTTGTGCAGATGCAATGTGCTCCAGCCTGATTGCAGTCTATGCTGAGTCTGTCAGATAAAGCACTTACTAGATATCTGACAGTGAAGTACAAGGCAACAATTGAATTAGGCATTTTACATTGCATCATTATTGTTGTAAGTAAAGCACAAAAGCTGCTCAATTTAAACAGTGTCAGAAATTTGCTCATTTTTACATCAAATAGTGTACTTGATTTTCTTTTTAAATCAATATGGGAATTTCTTCATTCTTTTCAACAAAGATAAAGAGTGAGCAGGATTAAAATAAGTTAAAAGTTTTTGGTGACTCATAGCCCTAAAGATAAACAATAACATGAGCTTGGAAATGGAATCTCCATCTAATTTCAGTTTTTCTGGTAACAGATTTCCAAAGAGTATGATATAATAGCCCCAACTTCTGAACTGTGTATAGACATCCACTCATTCAGGACTGTGGGAGCCTGGACTGCAAGATTCCCAAAAAAGTACAAAATGTTAACTTTCTGTTTCCTGTCCTGTGACGAGAGATCTGTTTGACACTTGCTGTACTTTTGCTTCAAATTTTTTGGGTATATTTCTTTTGCCAAAATTCTCATTTTTGCAATATCATTGTTAGGATGGCTGTGTGTATGATGGCAAACATGTTTGTTTTTCAGAAGATAAAATAAAGTCCTTCAGTGCTCAAAGGGTTAAAGGTAAGGACAGAGATTGGGGGCCACTGGATTTCTTTCGCTGTGAAGTGATTCCTTTGCTTTCATTCACTGGTGTTGAACCTTGGGCCAGATGCAGTAATATCACGATTTTCTCTGGCAGTATGGTCTTTACAGGCTTGATGGCACTCATTGGCAGCCCAACCAAAATAAAGAATGGTAAATGGGATCTCCTAAACCTGTAATAAGTATATTGCCAAATCTGCCTGGTGTTATTACTAATATTATCAAACACAGCACTGTAGTTCCGATTTTCTATGCTTTGTGGGTGCTTTGTCATGATGGGTTGAGGTGGCTTTGAACCTGTACTTTGTTAGTACCTTTTTAAGTCTTCCATGCCTTTCTGCTAATGTGGCAAAGTGGAGTCTTGTGTACATTGGGTTTTAGATGAAGTGGTTGTCCAAACTGTTTCTAAAACAATAGATGCACTTTGAAACAATGGTATAATTAACGACTGTGGCTGATTTAATGACCAAGCTTAGGTATCTGGTAAAGTCAACCAATAATTTGGTTACATGACTTGATAATATTCTTCTTACTATCGGTATTTATTTTCACATAACTGTTAAACCTCAATCAATTAAATTTCAGTAGTTTCAATACAGTAAATATGTTAGTCCATTGTATCAGTTTAGAGAAAATGCTTGAAAATTTAAATTGGTATAATACTTAATTTTTCTTTAAGAACAATAGATTGCCAAAGGATTGCGGAAGTTTTGTAATTCACTGTAAGGCTGTGATTATTTGATGTGGTCATGGATGATGACTGGAAGAAAATTCCTTTACCTAGTACTGTTATCATACCTGGCTTCAAGAAGTGTTTATATATAAAAATAAATATTTTGTGCATGGTATTTCTCCCAAAATACACTCTCTTGCTTAGTTTTGCATTCCATGTTACTTCACATTATTCTGTGGGTAAAATATTACTTATAAACAGATTGAGACTCCAAAACTGTCAACATTGTTCTCCACCAGATTAGTAAGTACTTTGAACAATATTCTATTGTCAATGTTATCTTGCCTGGACAAACAATTCAGTAGTTGCAACACTTTTAAAATGGCTGATTCCTTAAGTTGAAAGAACTAGTCAGCTTTTAGACACATTTAACTGACCTTGTTTTGGATTTTCTGTCACTGTGAAAAGGATTACAAGGTAGTTTTGAATTACCTGCCCTAAAATTACTAAAAGAAATAATGTCTTAATTTGTGATGTCATGGCATTTTTAAGTAGTTCTCATAATACTGTCTGGTTCCTGAAAGTTTTACTTATACTATCAATATTGTGTTATTCCGAGTCTGAGTGGTTGATCTTCAGGCAGGATGTTCCAGAAGAAAATTCACAAGCAAGTATTTATCATTTCTTACTAACTTTGTGTACAATGATTGTTTCAGAACACCACAACATAATATTCTCAGTCAGCCCAGCACCCAGCACATACCCAGCAACCAACTATACCCCAACTATGATGAGCAGCTGCGACTGGCTATGGAACTCTCTACAAAGGAGCAAGAGGAAGTAGAGAAACGTAAACGGCAGGAGGAGGAAGAATTGGAACGCATTATTCAACTTTCACTCACTGAGAAATAGTATCGCCACTCGATTGTTCTTTCATAACAGAATTTTTTAAAGATATAAAACATTAAAGGTAAAAGACAATATGTAAGGTCACCAGTCCATGCATTACTTTTGGGCACAAAAGAGTGTCAACAGTAAAGCAAAATGCAAGGCTGGTTTACAGCCACACAATTGTGCATTGAAAGCGCACCATTGAAAAATGCCTGAATAGCCCATACTTTATTCTACTGTCTTTCACATAATTCTTTGTACTTGGTTCAAGAACAACAATAACCAGAGGTTTATTTGTTTCCAAATTGATTACTTTAGCTAATGGCTACATTTTACGTCAGTGGAAAAAAAGGCTAGTAGATTGTTGGTTATCTGAATTGGACTCGTTACAGGCAACTGGTCTTTTATGTTGGAACATTGTTCTCTAACCTCTAGGGTTTAGAACTGAACTGAGTTCATGCAAAACGCTTTAAGGAGCCTCCCCTGCCCCATCTCCCTTGTTTTATAAAGGTCTCTTGTAAAACAATGGATAGTCTAATTCCACTCCAGGCTACACATAAAACTTGCTAGTACAACTTCTAATGAGGAAACTTACAGACCTGATGAGAAATGCCACAGTGGTGCAGTGCAGGAAGACACTACATGTGGTTAGAATTCAGGTTCATTATCAGGACAGTATAGATTCTGTGTCCTACACATCGTACTGGGAAACCTGATTGATAACAGCTCTGTGCAACTGTTCATTACAAAGTGGACCAAATCTCAATTTATATTGACACAACAGCATTGAGCTCAAGGTCCTAAGAAGAAAATTGGACCAATGCACCTTCTAAAAGCTAGATTTAAAGCAAATGGAAGAGGAGTGTCTGCTTCTTATCACATCATGTTAGCCAAGCCTTGATTCAGTGCAAAATAGTTTGAACTTTCTAGCAATGCCAAGCCAGAAAGTAACCATTTTGCTTGGATGATTTAACACACAGTCAGGGTCATTTTCTGAACCTTTGTTACAGTGCAAAATTCATTCTCATATGTCAATTATGAGAAAATTATTGAAATATCAAAATAACTCGGCTCCAATACTGCAAGTATCGATTTTCAGAATAATGTGAATAAATTGTTTTAAAATCCCACTCTTTAATTCTAAGTTTATAAATTTAATTGTTGAAATATTGAATCCTCCATTTGGTATTTTGCAAAATGACCAGATTTTTTTTTCAGCTACTTTTGTGGTTAATCTTGGTTTTTCTAATTTTGGAACTTGTTTCCTGTTCTGGCATCTGTATTGCAAGCATAGATACTAACTTTTAACACTAAAACTGATCAAGTGAATCATCAGATCTAACATAGCTATTGTTGATCAGTCTTAAAGATACAGTGTAATGGTGACCCTTTCGCTTTCACAGTGATGAATTTATTTGCAACTCACAAGGCCACCAAGCATTGGAGCTGACTATGACTGATACCTTGACCTCAGCAGATAAATGTTGCAGTTCTTGGCAAGATCACCAGATGACTTTGTTAACAGCCGTAGAACATTATATAAGTTGTGAAAAGTGTATGTTTGCTAAAAAACAATGTTCAGTGTTTAGCTGAGAGTTGAAATGTCAGTCCTCCAGACTGAGAGAATATAGGTAATTACTATACAGCAACAAAAAAGTAAAAGAGGACTGAAAAGAAGCTTATTTTGGCTTGACTGTCAGAGATTTTTTGAATCAATCTATTTCACAGATGACACAAAGCTTGGCTGCATTGTAAACAGTGTACATATAAAGATCAAATTACAAAATGAGAAAATAGATTGAGTAACTTGGCAAAAGCCATGGCAAATGTATTTCAATGAAAACAAATGTAACGTCATCCATTTTGGAACCAAATGCACTTTCTGGGTGTTAAAATGTCACAAGCAGTAAGGGTCCAAAGAGATTTGGGAGTCTAAGAATGTCATGGACTGGAACAGATAATAATCCAAAAGGCCTTTGGTATGCTGGGCTGTATATCTAGAGGAATAGAACACAAAGGATAAAAGTTAAGCCACAGCCACCCAAAGCCCTGGTGCAGTTTTGCACTACACCAAAGGAATGAGAGTGGAACATACATTTAACAGAATGATACCTGGTCTCTAAGGATTAAATTGCAGGAGAGGTTACACAAACTAGCATTGTATTGCATAGAATTTGGAAGATTTGGGCTGATTTAATCAAAGTTTTCAAGATGTTAATAGGTAGGGATAGATAAAACAGATTGTGAAAAAAACTTTATTTCTATAGTCTTGGACATCCAAGAGTAAGGAGAATTTAAAACACTAGAGCCAGGCATTTCAGAAGTGAAATTAAGAAGCACCTCTTTAAGCAAGGGAGCTCAAAGTTTGAAAATCTCTTTTGCAAATGGCAACGATGCCATTGACCTCATGCCAGATCAATTGTTAATTTTAAAATTAACGTTGTAAGATTTTTGTTAGCAAAAGATATTAAAGGATAGGGCAAAGGTGGAGTTACGTTGAAGATCATTGTGATCTCATTAATAAGTTCCCTCCTCCTGCTCCTATGTATCTTTGAATACAATTGTATAAGTCTGGAGCACATCACCAACAAATAGAGAGCAATGGATGAATGTTTCATCAAAGCGTTCAGATAACATAAACCATAAGAATAAGTATTATGAATTACTTTGACATCTGAAGTCACCATGTACTATTATTTTATAGGGCATTTATTGCAGTGTTTTGATAAAGATTAAGATGTCTTGTATACAGTTGCTATGGGGGAATATGTTATTTTTCAGCAATGGTTGCCAAAGGTGACACAGAATATTCAGTCATTAATGCATGATAAAATATTCCATGAAAACATAACTGAATCATAACATCACTAGCAAAGAGTTTAATCAACCACTGGTATTTTCACAGTGATATGAAATAACTGGCATCTCCCCATAGTAAACTTCTAATTACTTACCATAAGGTTGCTGTAGCTAAATGATAATTAGCAAAGATGTCAACAGTTTTTCAGGGACACTGGGTGCACTGCCCATCAACATTTGTGCAACATCTGCAAAGAAAGAAAATGATCCATTCAGAATGAAAATTTAATGGAGGTGCTTTGAAGGCTGCTCTCTCATCTCAACATCCAGTTAATAATGGTGATAAACTTTTATGCTATACTCGACAGGAAACATAAGTGAAAAACATGTTAGTTAGCAGTAAGAAAGGAAGGTACAATGTTTTACACCAGTGGAATAACATTGAAAAAAAGAATTTATGAAGATTGTAGGATAGTTTCTAGAGATGTCATCTGGTGATAAATAGTCGGGTTAGGGATATACTAGAAAAGTGCAGGTTAGTTGGAACTTAAACTTTCTTCTCAAATGCCTGAAATAAATTTAAGACTGATTTAAATTTCATCTTGAAATAAGACAGTGGAATAAAGTTAAATCCTAATTATGTGGTTATATACAGTTTTTGAGTTGTGCTGATTTAACTGATGTGTGCTTCCACCTCTTCAAAAAGCCGTTTGATAATCTGGGGACTATCTCCATTTGCAGCTTCTTTTCACATCCATTTGACAGCTGCATCATGGTAATGTGGCATTTACATTGATTCAGGCAATGCTGTAGTTGGAGCAGTCCCATGGAGAGATATAGTGATAAACCTTCTTTAAGAAAGGATCAGAAATTACAGAAACTCATTTCTACTGAGACCGTAGGCTACAAAACACATTCTGAAGGCCACAATAGACAATGAGTACTTAAAAGTTTGCATTTGATTTATTTTAAAAATCTGCATTCATACCTATCTCTTTACCATTTGGGTCTATGTGTTTCTAATTCTATGACTAATAACAGGCTGAGTTCACATGATCTTAACTTACTGGAAATTTGAAGAGAATGACCCAGGAATTGGATTATGGCTGAATTGGGATGTACTCCATGCAAACCAATGTGATGGCAGTAGAACTACAGCAGATTGATCTACCAGCCTCACAAGGATAATACCAGCCAACTAGTGCCATCAGTTTTCTGCAATCCAATTTCATGAGCAATCTCTCTTAATAAAAGAAACAAAACCTCTTCAGCTAAAGTACTCAACTTCCACAATGGATGCAAAGTACAGTAAGTGTGTGATTATTCCTCACAGTAGGCTCCAAAGAAAACCTTGCAACTCTTTCCTGTTGTCCCGAAGGTAATCTTTTTCATATGTTTCAAACTGTCATTTTCCAATTGAACATGTCAACGTGAGCGATTAGTCATGATAGATATCTGCACAATGATGGATGCAGATAGATGACGTTCATGAGCATTTTGAGACCACAATTTGATCAATACATAATGGAAGTGGCATGAAGTCTAACACAGTTATAGTGCAATTGAGGTTTGGCAGGACTGTCACATTAAGAATATAAATGAAGTGTTTTAGGCTACCTTGAGTTATAGCAAGTGCAGTTTAAACAATTTCCTGTTTGCAGTCATAGGTTTCTCACAGGGGTTCCAAAAAGCCTTCTGGCTCCATCACTCTTAGTGCAGTATCTTCTTGCCCTATTAAATAGTATAGTTGTGATCAATAGTTTTGTCATGCAGGGGGAGGGAGGAATTAATCAGTTTGTTTGGTATGCATAATGACATTGTAAATTAATTCAAAAATATTGCATTTACAATCTTATGTGATGACTAGATTAGTACTTTGTTATTTCCATTCATAAAGAATCATAGATGAACACTGACTGACCTTACCATTTCACACCATGGTGTGTGCAGCACCAACCCTTTACATTGTACATGTGGTGGTTGTAATGAGGTCAGCCAGACGGACCTTATAGAATAGGAGTTCATGGTTGGGCCTGTTAATCTGGTCCCGTTAGGGAACCTTGGCTGACAGATAAAAGGGGAGTGTCAGAGATACTGGCACTCTGAGAGCTGACTCTGAAGAGGCAGTACTAAAGTCAAGGACCGTTCACATGTATACAAAAAGTGATTTGGTGATAGGATACTGGCCTCTGTGGAGCTATTTCAGTACAGTTAGAACTTTAAA